CTGGCATCTGCCTCCCCCATCCACACTGTGGAGACCGTGCTGGGAGAGCCAGCACCGGCTCCTGCTTCCCTACTCCCATTGCTGCCTCTGATATAGAGGCAGCGGGGGGTGGGAGGCAGAGAATGCTAGTCGAGTAGTCAACTACCCGATAAACCTAGACTTATCAGGTATTCTAGTCATACTTGACTACTTGCTTGCCTCCCCCCTTGCTGCTTCTGTATCAGAGGCTGTTCTATAGTGCAGGGGAGGCGGAAGTGTAGTGGTCTGGGACCTGGCCTAAGCTAGGGCTGCTCAGTCCCTGACCATGCTGAGTCCTGGACCTACCCCTGCTGCAATTCTGCAGTTTAAATGTAGGAGGAGCCAAGCTGCATGCATGCCCCACTCCTCCTACATTTAAATTGCAAAGCCACAGTAGAGGTAGTTCCTGGACTCTGATTCCCCTTCTCAACTAATAGTGTAGTTGATGCAAATTGTATCGACTACACTATTAGTCAGTTACCTGCTTTTTAACATCCCTAATAGGATGATCATGCAATTACTGTTGTATGGAACAACAGACTTTTGAGTCACCACGGCAGCCAGTTCAGTACTGCATACCAGCTCTGATTCCTGTTTTTAAAATACATCTATTTTAGTAATTGTCAGATGATTTATTACATCAAGAACGATCAGGAAACAGTTGTTGGGTTCTAACATACTCTTCCCTTAAGTGATTTAGACCAGAAGTAGCTGACTAACTGGGAATATTGTTGGAAGATTCAGTGAAACACAGAGCATAGTCTGCTGCCTCTAATGGAGCATTTGGGAATGAAAGACATTAGCAGCTCAAGTTGGGCAACTAAAATTATTAGGGTTTTGGAACAGCAGATATAAGAGGAGAGATTAAACAGATTGGGACTTTTCAGCTCAGAAAAGAGAGGACTAAGGGGGAATATGATAGAAATTTATAAAATCATGACTGGTGTGGAGAAAATTAATAAAGAAAAGTTATTTACTTGTTCCTGTAACACACAAACTAGGGATCACCAAATGAAATTAATGGGTAGGAGGCTTAAAACAAAAGGAAGTATTTCTTCACGCAACATACAGTCAACCTGTGGAACTCCTTGCCAGAGGATGTATTGAAGTCCAAGATTTTAACAGGGCTCAAAAAAGAACTAGATAAATTCATGGATAAAAGATCCATCAATGTCTGTTAGCTGGATGGGTAGGAATAGTGTCCCTAGCCTCTTTTTGCCAGAAGCTGGGAATATGTGAGAGGAGAGATCACTTGATTACTAGGGATGAGTTAGTATACATGTTTAAATGGTTAACCAGTGAGCTTAGGTTAACCTTCACAGTTACATGCAAGCCCTTCCTCTCTTCCCCTCCCCTTCATGCTACTGCCTCTGTATTAGAGGCAACAGCATGGGGAAGGGGGGAAGCAGACAGGAGTTGATGCTTGTGGGGAACCAGCTTTTAAGGAGGCTTCCCATGAGCACTGTCACCTGCTTCCCTCTCCCCCATGTTGCTGTGCAGGGGGGTGCAGTCAGCTCTACAGGAGCTGGTTCTCGTGGGCAGCTGGCTTTAAAGCTGGCACTAGCTCCCATGGAGCCAGCTCCCTGCTGCCCCATGTGTAACCGCTGAACATTTCAGCGGTTACATGTTTACCAAAACCCTCTGCTTTTTAATATCCCTAATGATTACCTGTTCTGTTCATTCCTTCTGGGGCACCTGGCATTGGCTACTATTGGAGGACAGGATATTGGGCTAGATGAACCTTTGGTCTGACTGTGGATGGCCATTCCTGTGTTTATATGTTGCTAGCAGACAGAGAATGCATTACAATGGGTGATTATTTAGTATTTCAATTGAACTGTAGTGTACACTTGCATCCCAGTTTTTATACCTAAATATGACACATTTTATGTGTTGTGTTATTTTGTAAATATATCTTGATGTTTTTTGAAATTTGGATGTGCCAATCCAACTTTACAAAAAATTTATCTGGTGTACCCCCATTCTTTTTATAAGCTTGATGCAATGTCCACAGGACTGGAAAGGAGGAAAAAACTGTTTCCTTTGGGGCCCCTGGCTTGGTTGAGGATCCTT